GCCAAAAAAAAAAAAAAAAGATTTTGCTTGACGCTCGTCATCAAGATATGCTTGCATTTCTTTCAGCCGTGACAGATGGCTTGGCTACCCATGCCAAGTTTACAATCTTCTCTTTCCCAAATCAAACGTCGTGCACCTATAATCTAGATTTCGGCCTCTGACATCCTCCAGATGTACTGGGTGACAGTTCCCATCAGCCACAGCCATGACATTTAACTCCAACCCACTCTCTGTATTTTCTCCTCGGCAGCTGCTCCTGCCGCTTAAAAATCAATCCACCTCTTCACCGTCTGCCGCAAAGGACATTGGTGAGAAACGATCGAAAGCAGGCCCCCAAAATCCTTTGGCGCTTATTTATTCATCTATTTCAATTTATATGCGGCCCATCTCAACGTCATGACTCTGGCTGGTGAACAGCCGTTAAAAACATAAAATAACAAAATAACAATACATATGTAAACGGCAGCCAAGCAAACAGATTGGCCCACAAGGAGCTCCTGGGGATTACATAGAACGAAAGTTTCTCCTTAATCAGGCTATAATCATTTCTATTTATCTAGGAGAAATGCATTCAGTTTCAGATTTCTGAATAGACGTTCCTAAGATCGCTCTAACTGCAAATCTGGTAGCCGAAAATTGCTGTATCAAAGCTCTACTGGAATGCCCTGCAAGTGGGCATGAACCCTTATTTAATTTGGGTTGGTCTGAATCTCGGCGTAACCATGGAACAAAAGTATATCCGCATACATAAACTCGTACCTGGCATAGCCAATTCAAGACAATATTGAAAAATATTTTCTGCGCAATGATGATGATAATAACATTAAATTTATATGCCGCCCGACTCCTGACAAAGTGGCGATGAAGCTGGGCATACAGTAATTGGAGCTTTCTTCTGAAAGATTAAGGTTCACTAGTCAGACCTCCTTTGAAGCCCTTAGTCAATGTTTAGCTGATGCACAGCGGGTGGGAATTAATCCAGCTGCCTTCGGCCAGCAAACCAGGATATCCTCTTGCCTGTGCCCTCAGCTGAAAGCACGGTCTTTATCTGCCAGCGGATCACTCTGATCCAGCCCTTTCCAAGAGAAGAGAAACATCTATTTTCTACCCCATTCCAAGATTTTAGCACCGTGGGACTCCAGTGGTGCAATCAAGGAAAAATGGCCACCGACGGTGATCCCAAAATCTCTCTGATGTTTTTATATAAGAATGATTCTTTCTACTCCCTTTGCCTTGCAGATCTGATGACAGTGCCTCAGCAAGTGAAGAATAAGGTTATCAAGGAGCAGAAGGAGTTCGCAAAGGTAAGACGACCCATTTCACTGTCCTTCCTGCAATGCATGTGTGTGAAATATGAAGTACATTATTTCTTCATTCCATTTATATGCCAACGTTGGCCTAAAGAACTTAAGTCATGTACATTTTAATCTCCCGACCATGCTGGCTAGGCTGGGATGAGAGAAAGTCAAGTGAGTGGTCAAAGGAAGACATGAATTTGGGTCTTGCTGTTCCTAAGTCCTCAGCTCCAATCTGTGTGCCACATGCTGGCTAGCTGGTGGCAACAGATCTGAGGCTGGCAGAAGTTCGTTCATGTTTTTCAAAAACCAGAGGATCTGCCAACAACAGCTGGCCAAACATGACGACTCAGAAATGCGCCATTTTCATTCCTCGGGCTGCAAGACAGCATTCCTCCAGTTCGTGGATTTTAAAATCTCGTTTAGCTTTTTGTACCCCCATAAAAGTATGTTTACTGTTGCCATGGCTTGTGAAAACAATGGGGCGTGAAAAAGCTATGCCAAGATACCACAAGCAATCCAGCAGTCTATCTCTAATTACATCTCATGCTAAATGTCCTCCTCCTTAATCTACAGCAAGGTTCCTCAGCCTTGACAACTTTCAGATGGGGAGACTTCAACCCCCAGAATTCCCCAGCCAGCAAGGGAA